AGGCGATAGGTTATAGCGACCAAATCTTCACCAGTTTCACTGTATTCCTTTGATAATGGGTGGAAATAGTGCGAAATTTCATATTCCCAGCTGCATAAATGAAGGAGTTATAACGAAAATTCTCATATCTGAACAATCAGTTGTATGGGAGATATATGTTATAGTCACCCGATCTTTGTAATTTAAGTAAGTATTCTGTTAGTAATGAGTGAGAACGGCGCGAAGCGAATTTTTTGACAGCCAGACAATGCGGTCGCTTTTGTCTAGGGATGGCTGTTACAGGCGAAAATATTTTTTGAAAGGTTGCCACCTGTTTGAAAATTTTAATTTAATTGAATTATCAAATACTAGCAAATACCCGGCGTGCTTCGCTATGCCTTAAAAGTATTTTTGTTTTGTTACTCCCTCTCACAACATTTGGAAATATTAGTTAATACTGCAGTACATATTTGTATAGTAAGGATTTTTTTTTTTTTCAAATTAGATAAATAAACAGCATTTGAATATTGAATTAACACACGTTTGAGGAAAGGGTGCGATAGTAGACTCCAGTTATAAGATTATAAATTAAATTTCCAAAAGAAAGTGTGTACTTTACATATTTTCTAATTACCTTCGAAAATATATTAATTAACACCCACACTCAAAAAAGTAAACAATGCTTCATATATCGAATATTTTTTTTAAATCTTACTTCATAAAGCTCTTTAAATATATTGTATAAATGAGGCCATATAATAATAATAATAATAATAGATTGGCGCTTACACATATGTTAGTGTTTGGCCGAGCTTCTCCTCCGATTTGTGGAGTGCGCCTTGATGTTGTCACACAAAGCGGAGGGACCTACAGTTTTATGCCGACTCCGAACGGCGATTGCATTTTTATGAGAAGCTGTTTTCCATGGCAGAAATACACTCGTAGGTTTGCCATTGCCTGCCGAGGGACGACCGCTGTTAAGAAAAAACCTTTTTTTTCTATATTTTTGCGATGTTGCTTTCCCCAGGGTTTGAACCCAGGTGCTGCTTAGTGGAAGCGCGCACTGTTTACCACTACACCACAGCGGCCGACGATGAGGCCATATACAACACAAAAATACATTTATGGCGCAGCGAAGCACGCCGGGTAATTGCTAGTGTATTAATACGTGCGGTTAATTATAATATCCCGCCGGATGATGAACTTTCGTTAAGGTTCCCCTTAACGTCAGTTACTGTCCGGCGCGCGGTCCGATTTCAGGTCCCGAAAACCTTTTTATTCAATTCGGTTTAGTAGATCAGCGCGAGCACATCAGCCAC